TCCCACCCCCAAACTAGATTCTTCTCACATCATTAGGTTCATTTGTTATGCAAATTTCAGGAATCCTAAAAGCTTACATGTCCTTGTTAAACCTTTTGGGGTTAGAAAAAATCTTTTGCTCTTAATTTGCAAACTTGCATATTTCTGTGCATCTAAGGAAATCATTACTTTACTTTTGGATGTCCCTGTTTACTTTTAAGCTTGATAGATACTCAAGCACAACTAGAATTCACCGTCAGAGGGAGCAAGAATTCAAAGTTGCTCCTTTTGATGATTTTTACCAGCAAGTTCTGTTCTGATGAACAAAATGTACGCTACCAGTAGGAAATAAGAGCACTGATACCAAAGAATTATTCTTTCTAAGATAAGTTTATTATTTTCCTTCCTTGAGAATGTACTCTGTTAATCAAGAGTTTCCTAGTTGCTATATTAAAGAAGAATTTTCATTGTTTTGTCTTGCTCTTTCCCAAGCATTCTAAAATTTTGCATATAAGCTAATGAGAAGATAATGCCATGAAGCATCAGATTGATCTTTGGAATGACAAGCAAAATTCTGAGTATGGGGAGGGGGCTTGTCTTTTTAACTGCAAGGGTGGCCAACGTTTTTTCTTTTACCCCATATTGAAAGAGAAGGAGAAGCAGCAGCAGGGGAGCTGTTCATTGCTCTTAGCTGACACTACCCCCAAGAGCTCCACAGGGAATAACCCTGTGCCGTGGCTCTCAAAGGCATCTTGTCCCAGATAATGTTACAGCCTTAGATATATTCATTTTTATTGAAATTATTTTTCAAGGTATCTTTCATTTTGAAAGAAATTAACAGTTTTCTGTATCCACATTTATACAAGTCAGGAGTCTTGGCTACTTCAACCACAGTGTTTACTTTTTATTTTGTGGTGTCCATTTTTTTCTCTCTTGTCATGTTGTTGCTTGATAATGGCAAACATAATCTGTGTGGTTTACTTTGTAACATGTTGTGTAAATACAGACTCTGTGTTATACGTAGGAGTCTGTGTACATAGGAAAAAATCAAAACTGAGAGTTCTGAAAGTTCAGCAAGCACAGTTAGCAGCTAGAAATGTCTGCAAAGTCCATTATTCTAAAATCTTTGATAAGATACAGTTCTGTATTTGTTCAGGTTGTGTGTATTAAATGTCCATATGGTAGAACTAAAATGTTGTTCTTCTCCATGGTCTCCATGCATCACATATATGGGTACTGCGCCCTGTGCAGTGCCTGTTTTTGAGTAGATCCCCTAGCTAAGTGATGGTCCTGAACCCTTAATTTTGCAACCACGTACAAAAATCAGATCATGGTTAGAGGTGCTACTTCATTCATCTTTAAAATGAGAAAACAGGTAAGTCCCTTCATATCTTGAGAATGTGTACAGAGACACAGTAAGATGCAGATCATCACAAGCAATAAGACAAGGTTGATTTTTATTTCTATATAAATAAATTCAATTCCGCGAGGTCACCACTCTTCCCTGGTTATTGCTATAATTCCATTTCAAGTGTTCCAAGTACTGAAGGAATGCATTGGGTGCCAGCGTGTCTTGTAAAAATGTATAAAGCCTGACTAGTTATGAAGACCTGACTGTGCACATTAACGTTAAATTGATCCCTCTTTATAATAAATATGTTTGCAGTATTTGTTCAGTGAAAGGCAAAACATAAAGATCTTCAGGCAACATTAATTATCATCTACAGCACCTTCTCCGTAGCCTGCATACTGCTGCAGTAACCCTTTTTCCCTAACACAGTGTTGAAAAGAAAATTACAAGGAAATACAGTGAAAATATTTATGGAATCATTGAGGCCATAGTGTGGGTGAAAAGCAACAGCACAAAAACTGGTTTACATGTATCAACAAACTGGCTGGTTTAACAGGTTGCCAAGAAAGCACAAATGCACTGCTTGCAGTACACCTACCTCTTCTTCTTTCATGCATATATATTAACCTGTGTAACATTACCTTGTGCTGGTATAATGTTTGATTTGAATAATAGTCTTTCTTAAATAATGAATGGACTAGTTTAAATTGTGACTCATGGGTGCAGTATCCATAATTAGCCTCCAATAACCCTTAACAGTCTGTGGTTTATTGAAGGCTTGATTATCTATCAACATGCCATCCAAGGTCACACAAATCAACAACCATGCCTGGGCAGTGATAATGGAACACATTCCCACATGCACCGTGATTTAAATAAGCCATGGTGAGTTATTTTAATCATGTGAACCGGATCAGTGTTCGGAAACAGAACTATAACTTTTGGGCTTGTGATTCCTTGCAGGAAAAAATGGTAGCGAACTGACTGCCTTCAACCTGGATGTGACCTGACATGCTTTCCCATAGCTTCTCTTCCTTGGCCCAACTCTCCTTTCACCTTTCTTTTTTCTTTAGTTAGCCACTTGTTTGCCCACCATGGTTCCTCTGCTCCTGCCTGCCTTCTTCAGTGGAAGGACAAGAGACTCCACTAAGAACCAGACAGCTCAGAGCAACAGCTTCTGAAGCTCCACCACACCTTTGGAGGGATTATGTGAATGGGTGGAGGGATCCACGCATATGAATAGATGGGATGGTAGATGAGTGTGTGTGTGCGAGTGAGAAAGAAAGGGTGAAGATTTGCCATCCTTAACAGCTGTAATAAACAAGACACAGTTTTCATAAGCTAGGACTGTTTAGACTTCCCCATAACTCAATGTGAGAAAAGTAAGCAAATATTTAAATATATGTAGAACTAGAGTCAAATAGATACATAATATATTTGCTAACAGTTTGGATGGTTCTGTTTAAGTGTCGTGAAAGGGAGAATGGTGCAGAGATACCAACTACCAGAACTTTGTACTATGATTCATATTGACCCAGTTTGTAAATAATGGCCAACCATAAGTTGTTTATCCCTTCCACCCATGTTTTCACAACTTCTGCTTTGCTAATATTTTTTAGGCATTTTCAAATTTGCAGAATAGTACTATTTTCAGTTTCTGATTCTTTAAAGAGAATGATACATTTAGTGCTAATTGGTAACTTCTGAGATCTCATCACAAATTCTCAGCAGTTCTCAACAGTCTTTCCATTGTAGGATATGTTGTTGGAATTAATTATAGCAGTGGGCAATGATTTTCAACATCATTGTTGCTTATATACATGGAATGGGGTGGGATTTTGTTTTTGTTTGTTTCTTGCTTGTTTTCTTTTTGGCCACTGTTAGATTTCCTCCAGACCTATATTGTTATATCCTTATCTACCAAACAATGCTGGACTGTTTTATTACTTACATAAGAAAATGTGCATTCTGCTATTGTGATGGAATAGCAGCAGAACATAAACACAGATATTAATAACAGTCCAATCCTAAACATGCTCATTTTGAAATAGATCTTACTGCACTCAGGGGTGTTTTTTCATAGTATATGAATTCATGATTGCAATCTTAATCAGATACTAATTGAGACAAACATCCTTATTACTGTGAGTGTTCACTTTGTCCATGCCAAAGAATGAGGCTTTGAAATGGAAAGTGTTTATTACTTTTTGATTCAGGCATTCCCACAACTTGAAAAAAGAATGCTTTAGAAGTGGTGAAACAGAAATTTTTTCAGAAGTTTTCACCATCATCTCTGCCTTTGCCCAAGAAAGTATTCTTTTACCTCCTCCCCTTCCCATGCATGACTTAGTAGTTATTGATTGAGTACTATACATGTTCACTTCAGCAGTCATGTATTGAATTACCACTAATTAAAAAGATTATAAGCATGTTGAAGCTTCTCATATACTTTACTTTCCATAACTATTGGAAAGCTTTATCTTATTTTAACTTCATTTAATTTGATGTGTCATCTGGAAGCTCAGACACTTTTTGTAAAGATCTAAGTGGTTACTTTCATGTGACTGTTATATTTGTTTTTGCTTCTTGTTTATACTTGTATTATGCTTCATTAAGATATTTGAGAGAAAGCTGGGATTCACTGACAACATTATTTAGCATGGTTAAAATAGAAGGGGGTTATAGAGAGCTCAAATTATCTATTCAGACTGGGGGAATAGATATTAAAACATCTATTGTTTATAAACCACCCAGAGAGCTATTTGGGCTATTGGGGTGGTATATAAATGCAATCAATCAATCAATCAATCAATGCAGTTTCATATGCAACTTGTAAAGTGATGCACAAATGGGGGGAATCTTAATTTCATATATATGATGGATAATTTGATGGAAAGGTTGGCTAGTGTACAGTTGCTATAAAAAGACACGTTCTATGTTGAGGATTGTTGCATGTTTCAGAACTGGAAAAAATGTGGAAAAGGACAACTTGGATGATTATAGGGCCAGGGCAGCTACCCTGTAAAAAAAGTTTGGGGATTTTACCCTAGAAAGAAGGCAAATAATGGGACACAACAGACATGTACACTGTGTTGAGATACAGAAACATTTTTCTCCCTGTCTTATAATACTAGAAGCCAGGCTTACCTACTGAAACTGGGGTTCAAGACAGGAAAAAATAACTATTTCTTTGCACATGCTTAAGCTATGTAGTATAGCAGTGGCCACTAACATGGATGCCATTAGAAGGAGATTAGACAGATTCATGAAGGATAAGGCTATCAATAGTTACTAGTCATGACAGCTAAATACTTCCTTCAGTTTTAGAGGAAGTATGTCTCTGAATATCAGATTCTGAAGAACATGAGTAGGAAGGTGCTAAATTGTTATCATGTCCTGCCTCTAGACTTCCCATATCCATCTGGTTGGCCACTGTCAGAGCAGAATACTGGAATAGATAGGCCTTTGGTCTGATCCAGTATGGCTCTTCATACAGTATTAGGGTAAACGGGAAAGAAAAAAAAGATTCCATTCAAATATATAGATTCATTTTGAAAGTTTAATTTAAAAAGATATAGTAAAAAAAATCATTGATACTTAAGTTGGTATGCATCATTATCTAATTTTTCTGCCGAACTGTTCATTGTCACTACTAATTCTTACTTGGCAGGTTGACGACATATTAGGAGAAGGCAGTGATGACAGCGACAGTGAAAAAAAGAAAGCAGGAGAAGGAATGGAAGCGCCACAGAGTAATGCAAAAGAGACTTTAAATATAAAAATAGAAGAGAGGCCTGTTTCAACATCATCAAGTGAAAGAAGTTTGACAGGCAGTGTACCCAGGTATATGCTGTTTGGCTTGTTAAAATGATTAATGACTGTGCATTTTATTTTATTCACCAACCACTTATTTAAAGTGGCTACAAAGGTTTGGCAGTAGTGCATTAATGGGAGTGATAATTATACATATGTACATGCAGAGGGATAGATACTGGCTTAACATGATTTTGAATAGTGTCTTTTTAGAGACCTTCCTAAAGAAGTAGCACCATTTTTATGGACTTCTAAAACATATTTGCATAATAAAGGCTGCAGGTCCTGGAGACTGAATAAAACAGAAAGTGCATATATTTTCTTCTTGAAACATCCCCCCACCTATCTGTTCTGCCTTGCACTATATGGCATTACGTGTCCTTTTCTAAGGACTAGAATTATAAAAGAAAATGATCTCACACCACTGAAATATATTCTTAACGTTTATATTCCACTCCTCAAAAAAAAAAAAAAATCTATAGCAGCTCTATAGCAACATTCATAACGAAGACAATTTTATTATATAAATAAAACTGCATCTCCCCAAAGCCATGTTTAGTTCTGTGCTGTCTGCAAACGCACGATGTTAATCAGAAAATCATTATGGAATATTGTTAATTTTAGATTACACTTAATTCACCTTTCTCATTGTGCATATGAACATGGAAGGTAACCTGCCTTCTTGTGCTGATGTAAGATTTGGTGCCATTGAAGTCAATGATTAGGGGTAGGACTGTAGAACAATGATAGAGCAATGTTGCTTGCATGCAGAGGGCCCAAGCTCAGTCCCCAACATGTCCAGGCATGGACAGAGAAATTTCTGCTGAATCGCTGCCACAGCTACTGTCAACAGTGCTGAACTAAATGGACCCATAGTCCAACTGTTTCCTATCTTCCTTATGATTATCATCATCATTTACATGTATATGCTTTAGAAGGTTCAGTGCACATATTAATTTTAAAAAATGGCAGTGCACTGAATATCTTCCAATCCTTATTAAAGAGGCTTTTTTTAGTTTGAAGGTACAGGTTCGCCTTTGAGTTCTTTAGAAATTCATGGTTGCATGTCATCTTGACCAGTGACTTGTTAATTTTTAATCTATCAAATAGCCTAGAACAGTGATGGCAAACCTTTTAGAGACCAAGTGCCCAGACTGCAACCCAAAACCCACTTATTTATCGCAAAGTGCCAACACTGCAGATGCAAATATGCCAGGGGGGCAGCACAACATTAAAAGAATCTTAGTCTGTTAATTAGAACATCTCTTTGCTAAATCTTAGATATTAAATTTTATTTTTTCATAAGAAAACTCATAGCTAAAATCTTGTGTTAATAAAACGAATCTATTAAAACTCACAGCCAGTCCAAGCAAATATATATCCTTGGCAACGTACTGACCAGCCATGCAAAAGCTCAGACGAGTCGCAGCAAATGAGTCACGGCTCGTGACATCATTGCCTGTTGCTGCTACTCCTTTCCGAGCATGCACATGGCCCCTATGTGCTCTGTTTTCCGATGCTGTCGGATGTTATCGGCTGCTGGGGTGATGCTGGGGCAACTTGGCTTACATGCCAACAGAGAGAGCTCTCTGTGCCCGCTGCAGCACGCATGCCATAGGTTCACCTTGAACATTCTCTCTCATCTGTTTGAATCAGTTTTTAAGATGCAAGTAACAAAATACTTGCAGACTGAAATATGTGTACATAAATATAGATAGATGTATAATTAGTATACAGTGGTGCCCTATAGTTTGAATGACTAACTTGGAACGATCCACAGTTTGAACATTAGAGTCAAGAGAAAATAGCTGCAAGTTCAAACAATGCTTCTATGTTCAAACTGCAAGCAAAGTGAAAAAAAATGTGGTTGCAGCATAAACATCATCTGTTGTACACCCAAGTTGTCTCTCATATTTTCGGTGCATGTGTTTTCAGGATTTTTTTTTTTTGCTTTATTTTTTTGGTTATCTACAAGGTGTAATCAAAAATGATGATGAATGTTTAAATAAAAATTATTACAGTAAAAGACACATTGCCATTAATCCCCCTCAAACTACTCCCCCTCACTTCAAACATACTTATCCCATAATTCTTGCCACTTTCTGAAACAGTTCTGAAACAGTTCTCTTTTGTGAATGTCTTTAGTAGTGCTGTCATGATTCAGTGTCCTGAATCAATTCGAAACATTTACCTTTCAGTCGTTTTGACTTTGGGGATGAGCCAGAAGTCTCACAGTGCCAGATCCAGTGAATAAGGTGGATGAGGACACACCGTAATGTTTTTTTGTTTGACAGAAATTGCTGTACCAGAAGCATTGTGCATTTTGAATCGATTCAGGACATCGAGGCAGCCACAACAGCACAATTAAAGACACTCACAAAAGAGGACTTCCAGAACTGTTTCAGAAAGTGGCAAGAACGATGGGATAAGTGCGTTCGAAGCAAGCGGGATTATTTTGAGGGGGATTAATGGCAATGTGTCTTTTACTGTATTTTTTTTTAAATTTAAACATTCTCCATATTTTTTGATCACACCTCATATATAACAATTCCGCACTAAGGTACAGTAAATGTACTAACATAACATTACTAACAAATTCTAATACATTAGTATTAATTTGAACCTAATTCATTTCAGGAGGCCATATTTGCCATTTAAGTTTATTGAAATGGGTATGTCTAGAATGTAGGAATGGATTAATTCATTTTTCAGTATTTCTAATGGGGAAAATTGATTTGGACCTCGAATGAGTTCAAACAGCCTCCTGACACGAATTAAGTTTGAAGTACGAGGCACTACTGTACATGTAAGAATGTTCATACTGAGCTATATGTCCTCAGTATCAAACCTTCTGTGTATGCTAATTTTCAATATAAACCAATTTTTGCCAACCAGTCTATAACCACTACCAGAAGAAAACAGGACAATGTGGTATAGATATTTAAGATACATGAGAGTGCATAAATTCCACATGTGCACTTGAAGTGTGGGCAGTCATGAAAACGGAAAATATTAAGGATGTCCCCCTGCATTAATCTATACATTTGTGTGAGTAACTCTTCCTCTACCCATACCACCCTTCTATATTGGAGATCCATTGCATAACAAGAGAGACTGACATCAGGTGAAAAGAAGGTTGCCTCACAAGAACCACCCATTTTCCCTTCACCATACAATTTATGTATACATGGAGTTTCAGTTGTCACAGAATGGAATTAAAACCTGTTGTTGACAATTGCAGTAAGTAGTAGCTAATCAGATCATTAGCAGTATATTAAGAGAAACTCTCCTTGTGGAAAAGGTCAAAGAAGTGGATAAAAAAGACAAACAGATGAGATTCTCTTACACATTACTGTATGCTTATTCCAAGAGGCTACTATATATCCTCAGAAGGCCAATTCCTAAAAGACAAATGTTTTCCACTAGAACAATTTATTAACTTCACCAACTCTGTGGTCTGTCCATTTTTTATCCTATTGTTTGACAGTTTTCATAAATCTACAAGAACTTGATAGAACACAAGCTCAAGAATACTACTATTATGATTTACTGAGCATCAAGCTGCAAGCTCTCAGTTTAGACATGTTTTATAGCACCCTTCTTGAAAACAAAAGTACTGTCAGCTCATTGTCCTACATACCTCAGTGTGTCAGACTTTTTACAAACATACCATGCAGTCAGCACAACATAGGTTTTATGCTCCATTTTGCAAAAGGTTTAATACAGTGTACCCAATGAAGTGCTCCCACAAAAGTTTTGAACTGAGGCTCCCATTAGCCCAAATCAACACGGCCAATGATCAGAAATGATGGGAATCATAATTCAGAGCATCTAGATTGGTACTGAGATGGGGAAGGATGGCTGCACTTGATTCTCAAATATAAACAAGAAGGAGTGACACTAACTTGAGAATAAAAAGACTTGAAAATAAATGATCACAACTATGGTTATTTAAAAAAATACCAAGAATACAATACAAATCCTGAAGACTAATTGGAAAAGAGGCAAGAAGCTATTTAAGATTGAGAATATTTTTATCCCAACTTTCTTGCCAAGAGCTCAGGGCTGTTTACATAATTGTTGCTTTCTCCCCTTTTTCTGTCCTCCCAACAACTCTGTCAAATAGAATCAGCTAAAGATGAAACTAGATTTGATATTAAATGTGTTTTTGAATGTCATGCTGGAAGTTCTCCTCTTCCTTAGTTTGGTTAACAGCAGGTGTAGACCTAAACTACTTTGTAACTTTGCCATATTAGTGAGAGTCAGGGGAATCCATTTTTCATGCTCTTTCCCTACTGAATATTCCGCTCCAAAATAATTTCTTTTGGAGGCATTTTGGGCAGTATAATTTGGGGTATTTTCAGTGGGGAAACAGTATAGGGAGTCCCCTACGCCATTTTCCCAGTGTGGAGTAAGGTCCCTGTGATTATTCTTAGTCTTTTGTTTACTTGTTTTTCAACAGAGGAAAGGAAGGCATAAACAAGGAAAATACATAATTATTACAGGTATTATAGGCACTTATTTAAACATAGTTACAGTAAGTTATCGAGACTCTGAGGTTATTTTAAACATTTCATGAAGAAAAGGGTTTTGAGAAGAGATTTGTTTGTGTAGCTGAAGTTGGTGGATCTAGATAAGCAAAAATGTGTCAGGACATGAGGGGGGGGGCTTCACAACACTGAGATATTCACCATCAATCTGCTGCTCATGGGTGAGTATATAGGGTACAAACTATAGTTATGTTCATAGTATACATGATGTTTTAAGAGAAAAACAGTAATTATTTTAAAAGGAAAATGCATGCATTTCCATTTATGGTAGATATAGACAAAAGAACTTAATTTTCAAAGTAAGTTCCCATGTTAAAATAACAAAGTTAATATATCATTAACTAGGAACTTGGAAATGTCTTTATTAATTAGTATTTGTATCATGTTCTTATAGCTAGAAAGCAGCTCAAATCACAAGTCTTAGAGCTCACCCAGAAATAATGTCTCTCTAAAGCAAAAATGATTTCCTGGCTAGACACCTTTCTAGTTGAAAAAGTTTCAAAAGGAAAAAGTGGTTGGTAGATACTCAAGTTTTACTCTCTGTTGAAATATTCCCAAACCATGGTAGTTACAGTTAGATAGTTGAGAAAATTCTACCATATTTTTTTCTTTCTGGGCCATGAACTTGAGCATAATGACTTATTTCCTTTGATTTATCCTCAGAGCTTTTCATTATCCGTACAAATACCTTTCCCTTTGAATGTCACTGCATTCTTGACTTAATTGATGTAGATGCAGTTCTAAGTATGCATGATCCTCAAGTGATAGATTTAAATATGCTTTCATGTTTCACTTTTTTATTTATTAGGAGAAAAATGGTACAGCTGAAAAACTATGATCTGCATATTTGCATAATAGAGAACATCCTTAATAAAATGGAATGTTGTCTATGCTTCCCGAATTCTTAAAACATTTTTTCAGATATAACTGAAAAGTGTAAGGGCCAGTTTAGAAATTCAGTAGTTCTTGCACAGCATTGACATGGGGTGGCACAGGATTCAGATTGCCTGTTTCAAAGTCAAAGCTCCAACCTCAGGGCTGGGTATCCATGCTCCAATCCCACCCCTGCCTTGCAGCTGGTACAGAAAGAATTACACCAGCTGCTTTCCTAAGGTTGGAAAATTGACCTCAGAGAGGAGGTAAAGGGAGTGTTAGGGTAGTGGGAGAAGACTGAGGTTGCTAGGATAACAAGTATTGTGGTGGTATTCCAGCCTCCTTCCCTCCCCCTCCAGAGCCCCTTAGCTAGATGGTCAAAAATAGCCATCTAGCTGAACTGCAGGGAGCAACATCCACCCCGCTCCTGTTCTGTACTCAATAAGTAGGGGTGGGACAAACCCTGTCAGGATCCATCCCTTCACACATTTGTAATCTTCCTCTTGTGCTCAGCCCAGTCTTCCCAATCAAGCCTAGGCAGGAGGGAATCTCCGAATGTTCACAGAGCTTCAGTTGCACAACTGGAAGGCTTCTCTGTCAACTGTTGCAGCCAGAAGGTAGCTGCAGCTGGCACAGAAGGGCGATAATGCTTGCACAGGAGTCAGGGAGCTGCTTTCCTGGCAAGCCCTTTGTGATCAAGTACCTGTGACCAGACTTCTTCAGCACCAGAAGCAGCCAATGTTTGACTGGGTGTTTCTCATATGAGAGAGGGATGCTCATAAGCAAGCGAGTGCCCTACAACTAGGCTTCTTTGGCACCAGCAGCAGCCATCAGTGGACAACTGTTCCTGGTGTGAGAGAGAGGTGCTACTGGAAGCCAGGGGGGCTGCTTTCCTTGGGAGCACCTCATGATTGAGCACCCTGCAACCAGCCTTCCTTGGCATCAGGAACAACTGCTGTTCGAGTATTTGATCCTGGTGTGAGAGAGGGCCACTACTTACACAACACATAGGGCTTGATTCCTTCACACTCTGAGCCACTGCAAAGTGGACTGGAGTCCAGGGAGCTGAGCCCAGGAATCAAACAAATTCACTCTGGTTCAGGTTCCTCACATATCTCCAAGCCTTCAGTTTTGCTTAAAGAAAGAATGAAACTACTGGTAGGGTTGTACGCACATCGAGTAGAGTCTGTGTGAGTTAGTGGCCTTAAATACAGACTTTATATTGGAGGTATTGAATCGATTTCATCCTGAGGGATGAATTCCTTTGTTGGAAACTGATTATCATAAGTCTACTTTTCCAGGAAGATTTGCATGTCTTTTGATGTTGCATCTTATCAAGCAAGTAGTAGCACTTAGTGGGTTGAATCTACTTGACAAGACTTTTGAACATTCTAATTTCTGGATCTAATGGAAGTTTTGCAACCAACATAAGAACTTAAACTCATAATATCCTTTTATTATATAGATTTAAGAAAAGCAAGCCTCTGTTTCTCATACAAGGACATTTATTCTCTCTACCCTACTGCAGTTAATCCAAGGTGGCTTCTTTCTCGATTCTCATATAAATGTCACAAAGCTTGAACCTGTATCCCTTACAGTACAGTTGTTCTCAGACTTGTATTCATTCACATGTCTTTTGATATTACCTGCTGATTACTCTTTTTATATATATCCTATCAACTATCCTGTCTCAAATCTCATTTACCCCATCTCATTTTCCTGAGTGTTTTCTTGATGTCTGAATTGGATCAGAGCAAATTGAGTTTATAATATTTCAATTCACTCATACCTCTGTCACTATTAGAAATAGATACTTCAAGAAAAAAATGACATGACTGTAGCATTGGAGTTCTCTTCCTTCTCCTACATAAAAGTGCCTGCACTTTTTCCCCTATAGAATCTCCTTGCTGGACTTTAGTACTGGTTTTTTTTCCTACATACCAGTTTTTAGAATGACTGTGTGAGCTATGGTTTTCAGTATTATTGTCATAACATCCCTTTAGTTA